TCCATGATATAGCTATAATGTTTGAAACATCTATCTTCAATGTATGAAATCGCTACGTAATGTAAGTTTGGGTAAATCAAAGAAAAGATAATTCACTTTGTACAAGGTGAAATGCACAAGGTGAAATGCCCTTTCCTCATGTCCAATGGAACTATCCACACACATTAATAATGGATAGCAGAGAACACAGTAGAAAAAAATGTGGTTTATATCTTTTCTTTTCATTTTCCATTCCCTGTCCCTTTTGTTTTCCATGCATTCATACTTGATAAAGTCTTATTTTCTTCTTAGAATCCTTAGGCAGATCTGCCATCTCGTGTTCCTTTATGTGAAGCTTATAAATTGACCCACCACTGTACTCTATTTGGAAAAAGACAAAACCTATATTAAAGTATTTAGGTTTCTTATTTTATCCTGCATTCTACCTACATTAGAGAATCTACTGCTTGATTTTTTTTAACATATTAGTTAGATGCCTGCTTATTAGTGGCTGAAGTAGAATAGATGCTTAATACGTATTCATCAAATGGAAGAATTATCAATCACTAAATTAATAATATTAGACACCCATTTAGTAAGTGCTTGCTATGTGTCAGGCATAGTACTAATGCTTCTCGTGGATGGCCTCAGTTAATCCTCAGACCAACTCTAAGACGGATATTTTACTATCATCATCCCCATTTTACAAATAGGAAAACTCAGGCACAGAACTACAACAACTTAACAATGAGTACATATCTTGTTATGGAAATAATATCAGACTTATGTCTTGACTATGTTATGAGCTGCCTTTAACATCTGACCAATTATATGCATCTTTTTATTCATTTAAAAAGGTCTGAATTTGATTAATTATTGAGGTCCATGGCTTTATTTCAAATGTATTGCATTTCTCAATTGTATTCCCAAACAATAAAGCTAAACCTTAATGTTTCAAAACAATATTTAAAAGGGTTGATCAACTTTAGTGTTGATTGTGAAAATCACATCAAGGATTTTTATACAACTAGTTACAGATCCTGACAAATCTAGTTCCAGACACAGACATTGCTATCATCAAAATAAGAGCTATATGACTAACATTTTGAGTTTTTTCTTTCAATATTAAAATACAGAAAACTCATAGTGAAAAAAAAATTCCATTTAAATTTTATCCTTTTGATTACTGACTAAATAAAAATTTTAAGATAATATAAAATAATATTTTAAAATAGAGTTTATATCAGGAATGTCTACCAATATTAAACAATTCAACAGAAAAAAATACCTTGGGGCATTTCACCTTTTGGAATATTATTCTTTGAAGACTGCTGGCATCATTTTTTTGGGTTGTTATATAAAACATAAAATAATCTACAATTTCAAAAGACTTTTATCAAAAAGTATCATAATAAAAATATAATATATAAAGATTAAGTTCTAATGCTCACTATTATATGTGACCTATGATGTATATGTTTGTTTATACATGTATATACACACATACATATGATAAATGTTTATACATGTATATACATGTATAAACACACCCATATGACAAATGTTTATACAAAGAGTAGTTGTCCTTGATTTTCGTGAAGCCAATGAAAAGCATGGACTAAATTATTTGTTTTAAGTTTTGCTGTAGAGTCGTAACATTTTGGTTAAATATAAACGTAAATATAAATCATTTCATGTTTTCATTTTGTTTCTAGGGGAATATTCATTTTAAATAAAATCTATTCTGCATTTTTAAATGTTTTTTAGAAAGTGTTTTTGGTAATAAAATCTCATTTTGTTTCACAGAATGGAGACTGATTCAAGTTGCCTGGAGAAATGGAGCTTACTGTAAGGCTGCACACATCCATCGTAAGGGAGATGGGCATCAGAGGAAAAGAAGTAATACTGGTTATTAACTATCCAATTGCTTTTCTTTCCCCCAGCAGCAAGAAGAGTTCAGGGAACCATAGTATTTCTTCACTAACATGATGCTCGAGACCAAGAGGATATTGATCTCCAATTAAAGTCATTAGGAGTATCCTCAGTTTTAAATCTAAGAAAATTCTCATCCTTTCAAATATTATTGGTATATTTTAACAAGTCTCTCAAATACAGATTAGGCAATATTGCTCCAGAGATAGAAACTACTGTGAATGGCTTTAATTGAAGATATATGGGGATAATTTTAATGTATGACATTTGGGGTAATTAAGGCAGAGTAGTATTGGGTGAGGGGAAAGAGGGTGTTTAGGGAAAGAAGCTTCAGACATGTCAAATGGGCTCCTACAGCTGTCTTTCTTACACATATGTGCATAAGATTGAGTAGTTTACCTTGCTCATGGTAATTCCATGCCAGAGCTTAGGAAAATTTTGCAGGACACTTTGACTTGCTTTAGGCAACACTTGTCACCCATACTGAAACACTCTCCTTGCTAACAGAGAAGAATATAATCCCAAAGTCATAGACTCTTTTGTTTGACATAGTCTTGTCTCTCTAATGAAAATAAATAAAGAAAAACCATTTGTCATTAATTTTAACAGTTTTTTAACTGCATGCTATCTAAAAATGTAGCAACACAATAGAAATGAGAACATGAGCTTTGATACTGACTTACCTTTCAGATTCCTCACACACTACTCAGTTGCTAAGAAGAGCCAGTCTCAGGTGCACCTCCGTGAACAAAAAGGGAGGCAACATGGAGCCACGTCTATACCTTCGTGGATGGTTAATCTTGTGTCTATCTTTTCCACTACCCCTGTATTAATTTCTTTTGGCTGTGGTAACAAATTACCACAATCATGGTGCCATTGAAAAATAGAAATTTATTCTCTTACAGTTCTAGAGTCTAGCAGTCCAAAATCAAGGTGTGGTGGGGCTGTGCTCCCTGAAGAGGCTGCAAAAGAGAATCTATTCATTGTCTCTTCCAGTTTCTCCTGGCCAATAATATTCTGTGACTTGTAGCCACACCAGTTCAATCTCCAAGACAGCATCTTCACATTTGTCTCTGCTCTGTTTTCATATTGCCTCCTCTTCTGTGCATGTAGCCAAATCTTACTCTGCATCCCTTTATGAAGTTACATGTGGTTGCAGTGGAGCTCACCCAGATAATTCAAGATAACCTCCCCATCTCAAAATTCTTAATTTAGTCTATGGCCATACCACCCTGAACATTCCTGATCTTGTCAAAATTCTTAATTCAATCACATCTACAAAGATATTTTTTCTTGCCATATAAGATAGTATTCACAGGTTCCAGGGTTTAAGACATGGAAATATTTTGAGAAGTCATTTTCCAGGCAACCACAAATTGTTCATTGGTTAACAGGTAAAACCAAGTACATATAACTTCAGCTGAGTCTAAATTTTTCTCCCAAACTTCCTTAAGCCCAGACTCATCTTTATTACCTAGTCCAGCTCAGAGACACACAAAGGTCTTTGAGAAGACCCCAAGAGTCAAATACTGCTGAGTAGACACAGGGCAAATGACTCAAACACTGCCTTATGAGAGAAATATAATTTTCACTTAACCTAGTTAACATTTTTTTCATCAGTCCATAATAAAATTTTGACAGTACAATTCATCTTCATTTCCATTTTAATGTTTTTGAAATCAAAATATGACTTTTAATCGATATGTACATTTTCTGTGATAGTTTTACAACCCCCACTGCCCAGGAAAATTGATTATGAATAACATTTGATAAACTCATAAAAAGGAAGAATGTTAACATATCTCTGAACTCTCATAAAAAGGAGGAATGATAATATATATAGCTTCCAAGATAATTTTGATGACTTGTGAGTCAATGACTATATGCCTGAATAAATATCGAAATATTATATCCAGTAGAGAGCAGTGTTTCAGTCACAGAGACGGGAATCTCTGTTGTGTGTCAAGAACAGTTGCATAGTTACCCTATGACTTAATGAAGCATCCCTCAAGATGGTTCAACTATTTTGTTTTGAATCCAGGCACCCCAAACAACTTTCTGATTATCAATAATGTTTCTCAATACAGTATTTATCATTTAGATTCACGATGTACACTGTGTAGTTACATTAAAAATATCGGGGACTGCTTAAAGCTGTTTCTATAATCACACTAATAACACGTAAGCAAATCTCATGACTTTGAACATGGAATACTGAAGTTTTGGAAATAGGCATACATTTCTTTGTGTGTGTGCCTGTGTGTGTGTGTGTTTAACATCTAACAGGAAATAACTCTGTACGCTAACAGCTATAATCAAATAAACAATGTCTTAGAAGAAACTCAGTCCAGCCATTACACTCCTAAGCGCTGAGGATGAATTAGTGCTGCTAATTCACACTGCTTCTTATCATCCACTAAGGCATTTCCATGACTGCTGAAATATACGAAATTGGCAATTCTCCATTGATACATGGTGTGGACTTCCTGCAATCATTGAATTTAGACTTGAGATACTTAATATATAAAATCTATCCACATTTCCCAAAGCATATTCATGATGAATGAACAGTTAGGTTAGGTTTTTGGTTAAATTAGCTTTCTATACCCTTGACCCCAGTGACATCTCCAAGATACAGCTACCATCATTGAGAACTCATCTGAAAAGCCAGCTGACCTTTCTCTTTAGAACATGTCTTTCCAACTATAATAATTTCATGAAGTAATTGAATATTTACCGGGAAAGGGCACAATACTGGTTTTTGTTTTGTTTTGTTTTTGTTTTTGTTTTATAAATCAGCTTATAGAAAAGTAAGTTACATTCAAAATTTGATAAAGACAAGGAACTTATTTGTTCTGTTTACTACTATATTCTTCAGAGCCTAGTGCAGTTCTTGTCAGGTATTTAATGAATACTTGACTAATGAATCAATCAAATAATCAATACACTAGATCTTACAACTGAATAGTCCTAGATAACGTTTATGCTGGTATAATTTGTATATTATTCTTATAATTTAATATTGAACTTTTTATAAGATATCTGCTGAAAATGAAACAAATTTTGGAAATTGTGAATAATTATTTTTAAGATGCATTTTTTAAACAATCTAAAGACTTATTTGTTGCAAATATTTTGGTCTAAAACATTCTTTGAATAACTCTGAATAATTAACTGATATAATAGCACTATGGAGATGAATGTATACAAAAGATGTTATAAGAGAATTGCTGTAACTGCTAATATATTGATAATTCATCAAAGATAAAGCCTTTCTTCTAATGAATATATGGTATGTAAATGATGATTTATAGTAATTTTTTAAAAGTAGCTACAAAGATAGGATTTCACTCCCTTATAATAATTTAACTAAAATGGTAAAAAGTCTAACTGCAGCCAGGATATAACACACTTTTCCCATGTTCTCCACTCTTCCATCAACTTGAATCCCACCCTTGCACTGAGAAGTTCCACATAGAAGTCTGTCTTGCATTTGGAAACTAGAAATTGGAAGCTGGCTCAGTGAAAGGGTATATATAAAAAGAAATTAGGTGCATAAAAGTTAAAAGTTAAATATAATTCTGATCTTTTATGAAGATTTACAAATCAAAACCTTGCCCGGGCGCGGTGGCTCAATCCTGTAATCCCAGCACTTTGGGAGGCCGAGACGGGCGGATCTCGAGGTCAGGAGATCAAGACCATCCTGGCTAACACGGTGAAACCCCGTCTCTACTAAAAAATACAAAAAACTAGCCGGGCGAGGTGGCGGGCGCCTGTAGTCCCAGCTACTCGGGAGGCTGAGGCAGGAGAATGGCGTAAACCCGGGAGGTGGAGCTTGCAGTGAGCTGAGATCTGGCCACTGCACTCCAGCCTGGGCGACAGAGTGAGACTCCGTCTCAAACAAAAAAAAAAAAACAAAGAAATCAAAACCTTGAAAGACACATTCAGTTACTGTCCAAAAATTGAACAGGTCATTGTTAAATGACCCACTACCACACCTTTCTTTCTCACTAAGGCAAATCTTGAAGTTGGATTTGTTGGTTTTCTTGATAGCCCAATATTAAAGAACTTCCTTCTTTTTTATTTTTTATTTTTTTGAGATGGAGTCTCGCTCTGTCACCCAGGATGGAGTGCAGTGGCACAATCTCAGCTCATTGTAACCTCCTCCTCCAAGGTTCAAACAATTCTCCCGTCTCAGCCTCCTGAGTAACGGGGACTACAGGCACACACCACCATGCCTGGCTAATTTTGGTATTTCCAGCACAGACAGGGTTTCACCACATTGGTAAGGCTGGTCTTGAACTTCTGACCTCAGATGATCCACCCACCTCCGCCTCCCAAAATGCTGGAATTGCAGGTGTGAGCCACTGTGCCCAGCCCAAGATGAGAGGATGTCAGCAATAGAGAAGAGAATTTAAGGCCATGAAGAGGAACAAAGCAGAGAAATGTAAATCCCATGTCTTGAATAAGTAGGAGGTGCTGAACAGTTGCTCTCAACTAATGCTGCCACTTGGTATGGGGACAAGTTGATTGAAATAAAGGCAGTAGACCAGACCGAACATTTGTCAATCATTGCAAATTAATTTAATCTGTCAAAATAGCCTCCAAATGGAATCATAAAATGTTACAGTAAAAAAAAAAGAGAAAGACTTATAATCAGCAGAAGGGAGTTCATGATTTGATACAGGTAGCTATTATTTATGTGGCTCAAAACACTCTCATTGAGCCTTGGCTTAATAATAACAATAATTTTGGAAAGAGTGGAAGAAACACAGCAAGAACTATTGTGTTTTGCTGATGTGTAGTGCTTATGTATGAAACAGAGTGCCAAGTACTCTACGTATTTCATGTATTCCTTATTATTATTCTTTAATATAGAACTGTTGCCCCTAATGAAAAATAAGGAATGTGTAACTTGTCAGGATTAAGTTAGCATTTCTCTAAAGTTACAATGTTTACATATGGCATAATCAAGATTTGAACGTGTCTGCTTAGAGGTGATGCTCTAAATTGTAACTTAAAAATGGGCAGCAGGGGGACAGTGTCCTGGAGTAGGGAGGAAGGTACTCCAAAGACAACTACCTCACTTACTTGCACACTTGATGAAATAATGTACATATAATATAGTTATAAGCTACTTAACATTGAGCTAGTAATTCCTCATTATCTGTCAAGAAACAGCTCAAATGGCATTTTCTTTCTGAAACGTCACTTGTTTTATGCCTTCTATTTCTTATACCTCCTTAGAATTTATTTACTTCTGCCTTCTGTTATTAAACCCTGAATCGCCAATGCAAGAGTAGTCCCTGGTACATAGTCAGCACTCAGTAAGTCGATGTTGAATTACAATCCTGTTATATTACTGTGGTTATTATTCCTGTGGATATAAATCATATTTTATATTTGTTACCATCAATACTAAAATATCTTGTTTTATTAAGATTTTATATCTTCTCTACATAAGTGTACTTTTGCAAACAAGAAGGTCTATTTATTTTGATTATTGCAAATAATATTAGTGAACTCTTATCTATGTAAATGGTAGATTCAACGAAATACAACATAATGTGAATAAGGCAATTCGATGCT